CTGGTCACTCAGATTCCTCAGTCAATCGAATATATGCAAAATTCATAATTTTTTTATTTCTACAATGACAGATTAATGATTCTACTGGGTGTTAAACGATTGGATAAGGAACATACATAGTACATACCATGTGTGATATGACTATTGACTAATATGGAATAGATTTATTTCTTTTTAGCATAATTTTCAAACTCCCAGTGATTTTCTGTCTTCTGCCTGGTCAGTCTAATTCCTCAATGAATCGAAAATAAATAAAAGGATCATAACTTTCTGCCATTGCCACGACAAAGCTTTGATCGTCTGTGATTGAATCCACAATCTCTGAATCCACTCATTTCACATTTATTGAAATTTAATTCATATGCTCAATACCTCCATCCTGCAGCAGAACTTCAAACGTTCTGGCTGCATGAATGCCTCACAGCGTTCGATATAGCAGAGCTCTGTAGACCTTTGAAGACACCTGTAATTTCGTTTGAGCCTTTGTCCGGCAGATGTCACATAATCGTTCGTTTCAATTGAAAAAGGTAGATCTGAATCATTTGATTTTTGTAAAGGAATAAAATCCGTATCTCCATAACACCTGGTCTTCAACAATGATTGAATGCCACGTGATCATTTTTGATGCGGTATCTCTTTTCCACCCATGTTAAAGAGATACGAATGTATTCCTGGTTGCATAGTAATCAGTCTAGTGGTTTTCAATCATTGTTGAAAATCTGTTACTTATTTAAAATAATCTTTGGACTGGTCGATTCTTAGTTTAAAAAAATTTTTTCGTAAAATTGTTCAACCACCTATCCTACAGAATACAGATCAACCCCAATAATTTTTAAGCTGCACAAGTTACACCTTGTTACGAGGTCCTTCAAATCTTTAAACAATGACAATGGTCTGTTTTCTTTCAATTCGGTTGAGCCATATCAGCAAGGGATCAACTGAAAAATTTAAAATTTATTGGATTTTTTTCCAAATTTTTGGTAATGGTGGGGTAGGTACAGTCCCTGGGCGCAGACAGACATTTAGAATGAAAAACTGATATCAAATGTGGATGTGGGTAAATTTACTTTACTATACTCGCTTTACTAGCATTAACTCCAGAACGGTGAAATTCTTCGCATTCAAATTTGGTGTATGGTTTCATAATCAACTATATACGTAAATTTTTTGACAAAAGAGTAATTTCATACAATTTGTTCAGTGTCATGCTATGCGAGTTGTGGTTGTGGTACTTTTTCCTCGCATATTTTCTACGCCACTGATAAAATTAAGATTATATCTAATTTATCGAATTGCCTGTTCAGTTTTGTTTGAAAAACACATTACCTCCAACTTTGATTTAAAACAATAACCGTATTCGAAATATTTTACCTTGCATAAGAACTTGCCTATAGACACATTTTTTCATAATTTTCAATAGCAGATTACGACAGAAAAAAATGTTCCTTGGTGGTGAATTACTCCTTACTATACAGGGTGATCCACGGTGGAGGGCCTATTAGAAGTATCTGCAGAACGAAAAGACAGTACATTCTGAAAATTGAGATGCTTTGATCTTTGATAATTGAACATTCTCTATCCGTTTAAAATATTTTCATCGATACAGTGTTGCCACTTCTATCAGAAACAACTAGCAACTTCGTTATTTTAAATGGAACACCCTGTATTTTATTGCATTTTTAGATTCTTCCTGAAGAGATGATTTCATCAATTTACCACACTTGAGGTCTAGCAGGAATGATTACAGAGATATAGGGTGTTCAGAATCGAGATTTTTCAACTTTACGATTTTTTTTGTGTCGAAACTATTATTCATCATCGATGAAAACGACTTGCATGTCCCTATTCTTAACTTTTGATTCACTATCTACTGTCATTCAATTGGAACAGATACAGGGTGATCAGAATTCTAAATCTTGAAGCACCCTGTATTTTATCCAATTAAATTCCAGTAGATAGTGAATCGAAAGTTGAGATGGGGACATGCAAGCTGTTTTGATCGATAATGAATAGTTTCAACACAAAAAAAATTATGAAATTGAAAAATCTCGATTTTGAACACCCTATATCTCTGTAATCATTCGTGCTTAGTTGTTTCTGATAGAAGTGGCAACACTGTATCGATGAGAATATTTTAGACGGATAGAGAATGTTCAATTATCAAAGCATCACAAATTTCAGAATGTACTGTCTTTTCGTTCTCCAGATAGTTCTGTCATCCACCGTGGATCACCCTGTATAATATGTATTCTGCAGCTGAACAAAAATATTTTCTCATGGTGAAATCAAAAACGAAAATGTTCGTAGTTTTTTGTTATTTATATTGAAATTTATGAAACATGCCTATGCGAACGAAAATTTTCAAAAACTTAAAATTAAAAGTACAACAACCTCCTGTTCTGCGTCACTGGATCATATAAGTGAAATTACGCTGTATTATATATCGTCAAATTTAAGGAATTATAATAATAATAATAGCTAATAATATATCGTTTATTCAGGATTTTATAACTAGTTTACATTTCTCATAAGTATCTCATAATCATTATTAACTCGAGAGAAATTGTATGTATGAATATAGAGTACTCACCTTTATTGTCCACTGAAACCAAAAGGACAAGTTATTTCACAAGTTCTTGTTTTCTTTCTGATTGCGCAGTTATGGTGATAACAACAGACATTATTTCTTATATAAATTGAAACAAAAAGTATTTCTTGTATAAATTGAAAAGAAAGATTGAAGAAAAAAAATCACATAAAATACATGCAGTGAAATATGAGCTATATGAAGAATGAAACAAAATAATCAGATTGAAATAAGTGAATGAACTTTTTCTCTTCCTAATTTTACTTTTAATATTATATTCGAATCTTTCATTACTCCAGATTTTTTGGGATTTTCTCTCCTCGTTTCCATGAAATAAAACTATGAATATTATTTCAATTTACGTGTAGTGACAAATTTTTGAGCCGTTTTGGCCAATAATGATTAGTTTCGACACAAACAAATCCTAAAGTGGAAAAATCTCGATTTTGAACACCCTATATCTCTGTAATCATTCTCGATAGACCCTAAGTGTGATGCATCGATGAAATCAGCTCTTCAGGAAGAATCTAAAAATGCAATAAATACAGGGTATTCTATTTTGAAATAACAAAGTTGTTGCTACTTTTCGATAGAAGCGGCAACACTGCATTGCTGAAAATATTTCAATGAAGAAAGCGTATTCTAAAATATAATCATGCATATTTTCATGGATTTCTCTCGACTGATTCTCGATATAGAGAAAGTGTAAGCTTGTCATGACATACCCTGTATAGGGATTGATCACTGCTCAGTATCATCATGGAACTACCCACATGACTGCTGACGAGCAATGTATATCACTGATGTATATTTGAACTCTTCCATGCTGTATACCTCAATGATTACGTTAGATGTACAGGGGTGCTTCCATGAGAAGTGAGACAAAATTCAATTTTTCCGAACAAAAATTCTTGAGGAAAAATTTTAACAGTTAGTGAATTGAACGATTTCGTATCCGAAGTAATGTTCAACCTATCTTGCCTCATAACATCATTTTCCTAGTGAATTGGACATCCTGATTTCGAATCCGAAGTGATTTTCAACCTATCTTGTCTCATAATATCATTTTCCGGAAATGTGTGTGGTTCCATGGCTGTTGGCGAGCAGTGTATACCACTGAAGATGCAAATTTTCGTTCTCAAAATTTTTCGAATAGTCATAACTAATATATCGCACATCGAAAGTTCGTACTTTTCGAAATATTAACATGCAATTTTCAATTATCGCAAAATTCATATGTAATACCACGAGTGATACTATTTTGCAAGCTGGAGTAAGTCAATCGACTAATATTTCCGGGAAAAATAGTATCACGAGTTGAATCTAATCTCGATGGTAACGGTTGGATTCGTAAGAGTATTCAATGATTGAGACATAAAACGAGCGGCTTGCGAGAGTTGTGCACACTGCATCCATCATTCTGGCTACTAACATAATTGATTTTTGGTCACGTGTGTGTCAAATTACTGTCAATTCGGCTTATGTATGGTGAAAAATATCGCTGTAATACAGAAGAAACCGTGCAAATGGCCGATTCTGATCGATTCTAGAGACCAAGAGTGGAATAGTCAATGGCTCAATGGTATATTGTCATAGATGATTGATTGCCGCTTCATCCCAAATAAAGCGACATTTCAACATAGTAGTTTAATATTATTATGCATATCGAAAATCATAGATGGCGGTCAATGTGGCAACAATGAATGTGGTAAAGAGCCAATAAACCAATGACAATGACACACTTTTGACATTTCTAATACTGGATAGTATAACAAAAAAATCTCAAAATTTCGAGATTTCAATGAAATAATATAAAAGTATTGTGACGATAATACGTCGTCGACCGACACAGGCAATTCCAGTCCACGCGAAACAACTATTTCGCTACGTTAAAACTTACTTAAAACAAAGAAAAATGAAAAACTCCGAAAAAGCCGGTGGAAGCGGTTAAGCGGTAAGCACGTGTTTTCCTTTGTTTGCAATAAATAATTATTTGGCTAGTCTGTTGGCCCCCACTCCAAAACGAAATTTCAAAATCGACTAAGTCGACCGCACCAGCTGCCAATGCAATGGAGGGGTTTGAATTTCGCGGCCCGGCATCTCAATGCGCAAGCGCGTTACCGGCATCTTGCGCACATGTACCGACTCTACCACGCTAACCTCGGAAATCCGAAAATTTCAGTCAGTATCAAGCAGGCAGACTCGTCGCATCTGCTTGACACACACTAACGTTTAGAATACTTCAATAACAATACCAGGGAGTAGATATTTCGATATATTTTTGTACCGGTGAACTCGTTTTTAAATTACAAACAACGTCGTTTTTATGCGTTCGCAAGTCTAGTGTTTCCAATTCGAACATTGACAATCAAGTCGGCGCTGCTCTCGAACTGTGTTCCTTGTGGGGTTAAAAATGCCGGCGTCTAATTTGTTCGCTGAGATGGATCGCGGTAGCGGTATAGGGGACGAAAGGGCTTTGCAATTAGCCCTCGAGCTGTCTATGCTGGGCTTCAGCGAGCCCCTTTCGTCCGTGGTTTCGGAACCGGACAGCCCTACCGAGCTCACGGCCTTCGTGAATCCCATGGCCAACGTGGGGTTGGACGAGGTCAGATCGAAGAAGTCCCAGAACATGACGGAGTGTGTTCCAGTGCCCAGTTCGGAACATGTGGCTGAGATCGTTGGCAGACAAGGTAGGCGTTTTTGATTTGGTACAAATTTTAAAATGGTTACCCAGGTACTCGCACGTTTTGAGGTTAACCGAGAGGTTAACGTTTCGTCGAAAATGATTGAATAGGCGGAAATGCCTGGTTGAGGTGTTCGTAATCGAAGTAGGAATGTATTTAAATTACCTATTTGGTGTTTGACAATAACTGACTGTTCATTTTTTGTACCTAACTACCTACCTACAGGAATCATTTGATATCTTTGTTATAGGTACCTACCTACCTAGGTATTCTTGATTCTTGTAAGTAGGTATGTAAACAAGATGTTTTGTAGAAAACATGCACTGTCAGTGTCAATAATAGTCCTATATATAATATTATGCGTAGTCACTGTCTTAAAACCCACCTATTAATGTTTGAAATTAATATACAAGGTGGTAATCAAGTATGATTGAAGTATGTGAAATGTGAAAACGCATACCTAGTTCATGATATATAGGGTGTCTAATCAGTGTAATATTCTTTTAAAATATCGTTTTTTTTGTTGATATCGTAAAAATTCCGTAAAAAGTTTCACCCAAATTTGTTGAAATTCGGCAATGATATTTTTAGTACCTAGCGAGAGACATTTCATCTATATGGATTTTGAACAGCAATTCCCATTAATTTCCAGACTAAATTTCCACAATTCCTCTTGAAATCCCACAATTCCCCTTGAATTTCCACACAATTTCCCTCAAATTTACTCCTAATTTCAATTCAATACTGAATCACATTCAATTCCTCATGGGTTTCCTCACTTGTACATCAAAATTCCTATCTGAAATTCTCTTCTGTGTTATCGCGAAAACACTATACCTAGCTGTCATTCAATTCTGATTGGTCTGCCTGCCAGCGTTGGTGTTTTCAACGATGTAACCATGGATAGCTAAGCAAAGTCTGCTAGTTTGGCATGAAATAATTATAACTTTAGAAAAGTTGTCAGAATGAATCGCTCTTTTATAATAAATGCTTTTTAGGCTTCGTGAACGTGAAATAGTCTAGCAAAATACCACCCTGTTCTGAATATCTTCTCATTATTCTGTCTTTCATTGTTCTCAACAGCAATACCACTTTCGTGAACAAGGAAGCGATAGAATTATCTCGAATATTCAGAACATTCTGATATTACTTATATGACAAATCAATTCATGTATTGAAAAATCCCATAATCCTCATAATTATGACAGCAGCAAAAGTTTGCAGATATGTAAATTTGTCTCAAACTTCCTCTCAAACTTCGTTCGTTGTCAGAAAAGTATCTGATTTGTGGAAATCTCGGTGGAAATCACACGATTTGGAGATTCTTCGAGTGGAGGAATTGAAAAAAACCAAGGATAATGTGATTATCGGTGATTACGTATTCATTAAATTGTCTTACCGAATTACCGAGCGAATTACACTCAAGCATTTTTTCTTTGGGTCCAAGTAATCTCGACATTTCTTCTTCGAGTTTTGTTGTCTTTAGGAAAGGCCTCTTTTTTTTTATTTCAGGCAACAAAATTATTATAGGATCGTTTTTGGGTGATACCTACAATGGCCGACAATAAATAATAATAATAAATCTTCGATCGTATCCAGTCGGTGCCTGAGGGTCGATTCTCATCGAAAAACTCAATCGTGAAATTCGTATATCGATATCTGTCTTCGTTTCGGAGTTTTTCGAAAATAAGCATTTTTGAAAAGTGGCTACAAGATATTTTTTTGCCAAAAATTGACTGTTCTCATGAAAATAACTGCGAAGCAATGAGTTTGTGATGAAAATTGTCCACGAGGTACTGAAATTCAAGAATATAACTTGTTCTTCTTGAAGGAAAAGTTCTATTTTGCAACTATAAGTGTACGGTGACTAATTTCCTGCCTGTGGATCAATTTTCACGACAAACACAATGCTTGGTAATGTCCTCATGAAAACGAAGAATTTTATCAAGAAAAAAAGAGATTTAGCCACTTTTCAAAAATTCACATTTTTTAAAAACACCTTGTAACTCTGAAACAAAAATAGATATCTATATGCGATTTTTACCTTTGAATTTGTCATGTGAATTGATCAAAAGGCACCAACATCAGTTTTTTTTAATCTTGTACAGGAATAGGACTTTTCCTTTAAAAGTGACCCATTTGGGACACCCTGTACACTTGGTAAAGTTACCAGCTTGGTTTGGTACCGACATTTGTTGCGTACCAGGCTAAAATAGTCGAAATAGTATAATGACCAAGACGGTGTGAAACCGGTGTAATCACTTCGGTCTACTTTTGTAGACCTTGACTTTAGTTGAGTGCAAGTGTCAGTTGTTTTATGATTCTTCAAAACAATATTTCTTTCAATTTCGGGTGATTTTGAATCTTGCTGAAACGTATTTGTCATTATTTACGTATTCAAGTGAAGTTTTACAACCTAACCTCAAAATAATAATCTAATCAAAACAAATTTGGTAACGTTAGTCTACTAAACATCATGGCCTATTTTACCAGTAGGCACCGAAGGCCCGGACCTTGGGCCCGGTGTAAAGGAAGGCCCGGAAAAAGGTTGAAAAAATTATTAACTATCCCAATTCAGATTTGATTACCGAAATAAGCCGTATATGTTGAATGAAATTCAACAAAATCAGATTTAGATTAGTATTAGAGTGATTTTGATATACAGTGTTCATTGTACAGTGTTCCATAACAACTTATAATGAGATTCAATGTGATGATATTGATTTCTCTTTGTTATAGAGCCATCGTCATTTTTCTTTAATACGTCCCATCATGTTTTCAGCTGTTCAGACTTCAGGGGTTCTGAAAGCTCCTGTTTCATTCAACCCAGTTTCAGCCATCATCAATGGTTTTCCAAATTCCAAATAAAAAATACAGTGCAGACTCGATAATTCGAACCAATGAAAACCAAGGCGATTCGGATTACCAAAAAATTCGGATTACCGAAGCAGTTTTTTTTTCAAATTTTTTATTACGAAATGCATAAAATTCATAAATACGAAGAAGTAACACTAAAATATGCATAAAAGTAAGAATATAATACTAGTTTCTAAAGTAATTTGTAATTTTTGTTTGCTTAACACATCTTTGATTATTTATAAAGGCCATTTCTTTTAATCTTTGAAGTACAAGAATATCATTTAACGGAATATTATTTTCTTCCTTGCGTAATGTGAATCCCAGATACAAACAAAAGAACAATTAGGGGAATCCCTGAACATTTCACTCACAATTTCTATAGGAAATAAATAGGCCTAAAGGTATAGGTTCGGATTATCGAGTACTATGAATATGAAATTCGGATTATAGAGTACTCAATGTATTAAAAATGCTTGTTCGGACTACTGAAGAATTCGGATTATTGAACGTTCGGATTATCGAGTCTGCACTGTATTATCTTTTTATTAGTATAATTTTCCATTTTGTTCGTTTTGTTCCTCAAGATCAAGCAGAAATGCCTTTTATTTTGTGTTGTTGTGTTGTTATTTGTTTTAGCATTCATGAAATATTATCGGGTTCTTGCTCGTTTTTTCGCACTACCTGATTCATATTTTTGTTGAATATAAGATTTTGTCACCAAATATTATGGAAACTATTTATTATACCTATGTATAAGTAGGTACATAATGCACTTTCTTGATATGTGTGTACGCACCAACTGGCTATTGACATAACGAGAGGCCCTCCAGTACATGTGTGTTATTTGCAGGCTTGTTACTGACTCCATACGCCTTCAGTTCTTAGGCCTGCACTGTTGATTGGCACGCAACAGTATGAAAATGTATAACTAGTTTTTTAAATAAAAATTCTCTGCTCTGTCGGGTTTGATCCGGAAAACTTTTGATGTCCTATTCCGCCGTCCCATTTATCAATTAATGAATGTGTAATATACTTTTATCAAACTATTATCATCAAACAACAAAAAACTGAAGTTTCCAAAAATGAGCAGGAAAATTCTTGATGAACAGTCATATAGGATATTCAGGGCCCGCAATTATTTTGCTGAATCAGAAATGGGCCTTGCTAAAGACACATGGTATACTGTCAGAAAAAAAAGAGAATTGTAACAACATTGAAGAATATTCGAAAAAATATAGCTATTTCCAATTCTCCTCCAAAAATTGCTCGAAACTGAATGTGGAATAGCAACTTAATAAGAAATGTTTATGGATATTTAGTTATCTAACCCCACTTTTCGTCGCTTTATAGTATTATTTTCATTTATCACCATACCAGTGATCACGTGACGTGTCAAAATCGATTTTCAAGTTATCGGATATGCATAATGGATCGCCGGGAGAAAAAAATTCGATGCTGTGATAATAAACCTGTTCTGTATATATCTGTTAGTAAAAATCTCTGTCATGCTTGAAATAACAAAGTCTTGCCAAAATACGATCGAGTTTTTCAGTTTAAACTAGTTAAAATCAAAGGTAATAGTGCAATTTGTCTCGTTTTTAAAAATTTGAATGATTTCATGACTTTTTCGAAAAAAGTCAATGGAATTAATTCACGAATTGAATCACTGATTTAATTCATATGAATTAATTCATGCCAACCCTGGTGTAAACACGCGTTAACTAAGGCATTTGGTCTGAATTTGGTCAGATCAACTTGGCATGCTCGGTGAAGTATCAAATTTGTTTTTTCTGCAACCGACACAAAAGTCGTCCATTTTGATACCAAAATTAGCTCTTAAATTGACGTTTCTATTACTGACACAAAAATGGGTATGTTGCTAGGCAACATATTTAGTTCCTAGGAGCTGAAGTTGAATTTTAGTTCCTAGGAGCTAAAGTTGAACTTTAGCTCCTAGGAACTAAAAAGGATCTACTGGACATCATCAAGAATAAACAACATTGTGACGGTTGGTTATTTGCTTATTTGGGTTGAGACGCATACCTGATTTGTTTCCTATTTCAGCAGATTTGGCATTTCATACCCATGCTGGAGATATAAATACACCTTATTATAGTTTAGTATTGGAATTATAAACATCTCAGCTG